CTACCGGTCAGAGCGTCTGCTCCCTGGTGGTCAGTACACGTCATAGCGACTGGGCGACGGGTCGAATGAACGTTCAGACACTTAGCATATTAGGCTTTTATTATATAGGATAAGATATCACTGCCCAGAGAATCAAGAAATGAAGCATAAAGACCATCTAGCTTTTCATTTCAAATCTCTTTCCTGATACTTAAGAGTAAAACCTTAAAAACCATTCATTTGTCCATCTCAAGATAAATTTGTTGAATAATTACTCTTTGCCAGGACCTGGACTAGGCATTAAAGATATAAAGTTTTTTTTAAAAAGAAGATTAATCTATAGCCCTTGCCACTAAAGAACTAACTGAAAATCAATACCTTCCTAAGAGTCTCTTCATGCTTTAAAGAACTTAAATATAAAAATGCTACTAGACTGAAAAATACCCAAAGATTCCTTCATGGTCAGGTTAGAAATTAAGGTATATTTAAGGGAAAGAGAATGAGATACAAAGAAATTAAAACCTACCATTCCATAAAAAGAAATGAAATTCTGATACATGCTATGGATGATCTTGAAAACATTATGCCAAGTGAAATAAGCCAGACACAAAAGCCATACAGACAAATACGGTATGATTAGATTTATATAAAATATCTGGAATAGACAAATTCATGGTGATAGAGAATAGAATTAGAGGTTACCAAAGGTGGGAGGTGGGGAGAATAGGGGGTTGCTGCTTAATGGGTACAGAATTTCTGTTTGGGGGGGGTGATAAAAACTCTCTTGAAACAGATAGTGGTAACAGTTGCACAAAATTGTGAATGTGATTAATACAACGGAATTATACACTAAATGTGGTTAAAGTATCATTTTTAATATTATATATATTTTACCACAACATTAAAAAGCAATAATGTAATATCCCAAAATTCATTGAATTGTACCCTTAAATGGGTGAACTGTGCAGCATGTAAATTATATCTCAAAAAAGCTGTATGTGGTTTTTTTTTAAAAAGACCATTCTTTATATGTTAAAATATTACTCTGTCATCTTGTAAAGCTCTTAATATTCTTAAATAAATTGACTGGGAGCAGAAGCAGGTGATCAATGTTTGAAATACTATGATTCACATTCCTTACTAAATGCCTAGGTTTTACAAATCATTGATAATCCTTTGGGCAGTTTAGAACACAGAAGAGCCCTCTGTCTTTTGGATATCTGGCTAAATAACTAATTGACAACCTTGCAATGACTAAATAACAGACCATTTAAAAAAGAATCTCTTGGTTTGACTCTTCTTGAATACAGCCAGCCAGAAAAACGTGGTTGAAATCAGTCAGAACCAAACAAATGACAACCTTCCGTTTTTACAACTCTCAGTCGTAGGTCAGCTATAGATCAGAGCGTGGCAGTATCTAGAAAAATGCCAGGCACACATGGGCTTTCGAGACATAGTCATTGAACTGAAAGAACAGCTGCATCTGCTGCTTCGGGAACTGGCAGGGCCCCTGGTCAGATAAAATCACTTTGAGGGGGTGGCCGGCCAGCCCAGCGAGCCCCTGGGAGCTGGTTACTTGTGGGCTCATACATGCTTTCTCTGCGCGTCCCTCAGAGGTCAGTCGGCAGCTAGACCAAAGAGTGCCCTTCTAAATAAGTATCACTAAGAAGTCCAGGTCTAGACGGAACAGAATGAGGTCAGCTATTTCAGAAGCATTTCATGCCGGTGAACATATATTTCAGAAAAGGCCATCATAACCTTTTGAACTTAGCGAATAGGTGAGCCACTCCTGTTGCCTCGAAACAATAGTAACAAAACAAAAAATAAAAATAGTAAGTGCGGAAACCCAGAAGTAAACTACTTTTACATTTCCCATCCCAGAGGTAATAAAGTAATACGATTTAGATAGAATTTGCCGCCAAAAGCCAGTAAACCTTTTCTATCCTACTAGTCAAATACAAATAACAGGGAACAAGGATTATATATTTTTTAAAAAGCATTTGAAAGAAAATAAGGTGGGAATAATAATCTTTCACTGTGTGGCTACTGAAGGTACCTGTTTTCGACTAGACAAAGGGAAATTAAACCTCCCACAAGTGAGTTAGCCATCAAACATGGTCAGAAAAACAGACTCTAGAATGTCAATTCTAGCTGCAGTGGGGAGAAAGCTCATGAGCTCATTGTCACCTTCCTAGACCCTTAAAACAAATCACATAGCCATAGCAAAGTGTCCCAAACATACCCTGGGTCCGAATCCCGTCCTGGCTCTGCGGGATGAGAAGCCTGGATCCAGCCCTTCGAGGAGAGCTTCGATTCCTCCATCCTCGGACCAGGGCCCCCACCATGGTTGTTGACAGCATGCTCCCCAGGCAGCTGTGGCCCACGGTGACGGGAGTGGGTGGACGGCTGTCAGGCTGCCACCTCAGGAGAATCCTGTCCACCTGGGATGAGGTGCTACACCCAAGGCAGACAGGTCTGGGCAGTTCCGCCCGCCTCCGTCCTCCACCCACACACTCATCCATCTCGTGTTCGCCTCCCTCGGGAGGCCCCGGGAAAGTGTGGCCAATGAGACAAGCAAAAGCAGACAACAAGCAGCAAAAATCAAAATGAAGATATGAATAGAGTCATTCAATGGAAGAGGATGGTCAATGTTACAGCAGTGCCAATCGCCTCCTACGAGAGCTTCTTTTGTGTGTTTGTTTTTGATTCGTTCCCTGTCACCTAAAGAAGTTAAGTCCAATTTTTCAACCTTTAAAAATGACTGTATGTGGGTGGGCCACACACCTATGCACCTATTTCCTCTCCTGAATAGGAAGAGCTTTCAGGCAGTTGTGTTTCCAAAGAGATCCATTCTTCTAGGTAAACAGAATTTGTTTACAAAATATGAAAAGTATTTCTAACGTTCTGAGGGTTCCCTTCCCAGAATTATATCAGCTTTTGTGATGAGAAAAGTTGATTAAGGGGATTAAATAAAAATTCACCATCATGTAAACTCCCAAAGGCTTTTAAAAAATGAATTGATTTCAATGGCCTAAGTCTTCTCTCTCCTGGTGTGGTAGCTGGAGTTACCACATGACTGAGTAGGTGGAACCTGAGCTTCATGTATACAGCACATTGCTCACATATGCCCCCTACTGGTCAAGATGCCAGGTGCATATGGGTTAGAGAGGCTTTAAGGCTGTCAGAGGGGCAAGGAGTTGAAAGTTCTAGAATCACTTGGGTATCTCCACATGCTGCATTCATCCAGCCTGGGTGTACTAAGATTGAATTAATTACGGACAGCCTAGAGGTTCTGATATTATGGATTGTCCTTAGGACTTTATGGATCATGCAGATAGAACGATCCATGCCCCATTTCACTCTTTTTCTCCCTTCCCCAGATACACCACATTTAATAAGATCAAGGTTGTTTTTACAGGACAGGCAAATTCCCAAAACTACCCTGAACTGACAATAATTTTTCTCAGAAAGCCTACAGTTTACTAAAAAAGTAGCAGGGTTTTGAGGATACAGATTTTTACAGTCATTTAGTTGAAATTTCCCTCATTTGCTAATTATTTTGACATTTCCAAAATTTTTAAAAAAAACTTTAGTATCATTGCAGGTGGAGGGACAGTAGAAATGAAGGATGGGAATCTTAAATGGCATGAGAGCAGGAAGCTGCTGACTCTACTCCTGCACCCAACGTCAGTGATCTGGGGACAGTGCGATCTTGGGGGCACCATCTGATGAGAGACACAAATTCTGTTGCTCCCGGAGGTGTGCCTCTCCTTCCTCACTAACGTGGGGCTCCCTCTGCCATGGGCAGTGAGGGCAAAGGGCAAAGGAGCCTTCAACACTCTCAGTTCCTATGACTCCCCCCTCCCCCCCCACACACACACCCTGAGTCACAAAGACGGGCTGAACCTGCCTTCTGCTGGGGACAACCCTGTGAGTATAGGGTAGCATCTGGGGACAGGACCACAGGGGACCCAGGGCCTTTGCCTGGTCTTGGTTTGGAGGTGAGGGATGAAGCAGGGATCTTGAGGATGGTCCAGGGTCCCCAGTCAGGGGGCAGAATCAGGAGACTGATGGCTGGGGATGAGGCCGGGCAGGGATTCCAGGAGAGGCCCTATTGGGACAAGCGGACACCAGCATCCTTGGAGCGAGGTGGCAGGGAGAACACAGTGATGCTGAAGGCAGCAGATGAGCCACGAGGACCAACCATAAACAACTCCTCACGCTATCTCAGTGGGAGCCCTCCTTTGAGGCCTTGCTGCTGCCATGTAGCCGAGATCCCTATAAACAACAGACACCGTCCCCACAGGGCAAGCCAGAGGTCCAGGGTGGGGGATATGGACTCGCGGATACTTCTGAAGCACAGCAAACTGCCCCCACTCAGCTGTTATCAGCCACCGCGGTGATAAGGAAGCATGTGAGAAAGGAGGTCAGTGGAGCCAACTGATACTTCCGATAAAATTCCCCAAGCCTCCTTCGTGTTCCCAGAGTCCCCTGGGCACACACCACAGCCCTGCTCAGCCGTCCACTTTCTTACATCTGCCCCACTCAACCAGCCATCCCCAAACCTCCCCGCACATCAGAAACACTAAGTACAGATCCCGGGGCGCCTGCTGGAAGGACCGCTCTCCTAGGCCTCAGACAGTGCCAGGGAGCCCGCATTTCCTCCGGCTGCCAGCACCTTCCTTCATCGCCAGCCTGGGCTCCATCCAAGGGCCGTATGAAGAAACCAACTCACTCGACGGTGGGCTTCCTGCTGGGCCTGCACCATCCCTGGGCCCAGCGTGGTGTGCAGCCAGCACACAGCATGTGGGGTGAAGAGAACCAACACCGTGGCCAGGCGTCCAGCAACATCCCTCCGCCCTTGTCTCCACATCAGTCAGGCCGCCTGACACCTCAGCTTCCATGACACCCTCTGCTTCTTGCCACGACCCCCAACACCCCTTGGTGACAGGAGCCATCTCATGACACCACCCTTTCTTTTCTGCAGCCCAGACCCCTCAGAGCCCCCACTGTTCACTCGCCTGTGATGTTTTGGTCCAGAACATGACCTGTCAAGGCGGCCGTCTCCTGTCCCTTCACCTCCACAAAGAACGGCTTCATCTGGGCGTCAGGGGTCTCTGGTCCCCGACACTGTTGAGATGGGGTTTGTCCACGAACTCAAGGCTCAGCTTGCACAGCAGCCTCGGCCACTTTTCTGCCCCGAGATTGCCGGTTGTGGCAGGTGGACACTCGGTGTCCAAGGTTTTCCCCAACAGGAAGCTGAGCAATGGCCGTGACTGCTCTGGGAAAGGCAGTCAGGAAGAGGAAGTGGAGTAATATCCTGCCCGTGTAGGTCAGCCCGCCCTTCCCAATGCTGCACATGTACTTCCCGCCACAGACCCGCCACGGTGGCCCTGTGCCTGCACCAAGATGTCCCTGAAGCAAGGGAAACGGCTCGGCCCTGAGAGCATGAGGTCACTCTCCCCAGCTCCGCCTGATTAGAACCCCCCTCCCACTCGTGCAGAGGGACAGGCTGAGGAAGGAAACGCACTTTCCCCTTAGACAGCACATCTAGAAACCCAGCACCAGCTGAAGGCTGCTTGAAGGCCAATATGGCTCCCAACAAACTTAGTTCATAGATGTTTGCTTCCACTTTCCCACGGAGACTATGAGTGACCAACTGTTTTCTCAATCTCATAAACACAAGTACTGTCCTCAAGGCAGTGTCTGAATTATAGTAATCTCCCCAACT